ATTTTTTCAGAAGTTGAACATTGTAGTTTCTTGAAAAATCAAAGGTCAAAAGACCTTTAATGGCCTCTACTTCTTAATAACACAATGGTACAATAGATAATTTTAAAGCTTGATGAGCTTTAAAACAAGCCCAACTGCAGCTCTACACTTTAGGCTGAACCACATTAGAACAAATTTATGATCTGAGTCTAAATTTCCAGTTATTTCAAATTTTAAAATGCTAATAGCTTAAAAAATATTTAAAATACACATCTGACACTTTACATATGTTCATTTATGTGTGGAAGCATGCAAACCAAATAAGATTTGAGGTTCTCATGGTATCGAGTATGAAGACAGATGTCTTCTGCGTTGTAGAGCTATGTAGTGTGGTATAAGTTTACCAGTATTTCAGAGGTCCTTGCTGCTTCCATCATCAGGACACTCTGAACTTTTACACTTGACTTTTAAATTATGTATTTTGGCCAGGTTACTATTCCACTAGAATTTTAAAATAATCCTTAACTTCCATGTAATTCTATCAATCATAAATGTGAGTACAAATGTAAGATTACAGGCTCTCATAAAAACATCAATGTCCACTGACAAAGTTAAATGCAATTGTCACTTTCGTGCTCCCAGCAAGAACTGCATGACTCACCACCAAATGCTACAAGAATTTCCTGGTATGATTCAAGAATAACTCCACAAAAACAATAGAATCAACTAACCAATGTTATAATATGTGCTGAAAACAATGTCTGTTCAAGCACACACTTTACACCATTTAAATTGGTTTCAATTACATAACAAGGAACTTCAGAGATTAAACTCTGGTACCAAATATTTTGGAAGGAAATAACCATGAAAACAAAACAATGCTATACACACACTAAAAAGAGGGAGAATGAGGATCAACTTCACCATCATGAAGTGACAGCAAAATCCAGCTAAAGAAATTAATCCTGCTAGCTGAGTCACATGATCACCTTGCATGGCCAAAGTTTAAGCAGTTTTCTCTCTTTAGCTGCTGATGATTTCAAGACGCAGGACTCCTACGCAAGGCGTCTTGGTGGTGTGTTCTAACCCAACTCCTATTTCATCTAATTTTATTTCAGTAAGCACGTGACATTTTTAGCAGGTTTCTTGTCCAGATCTGACCCAGCAGAACAGATTTCATCAGTAAGTATATGGATGCTTGTTGTGCCTAGAACTGTGATTCTGGGGAATTTACAGCTAAATTTTCTGACACTTTCTAGCAATACCATACTTCACATACAATTCACACAGAAAAACATGCTGTTCAACAGCATAATGAACATACCCATACATACAACAGTAACTAGTACTTAACACAATGTCAGACACAGTTGCACTGTTGTGTGAATAATTTTAGCAGCAACTGCTGTTGGCTCTTGGTGGCGAGTCGTGCACTTCTTGCTGGGAGCCAGAAAGTGACAACTGCATTTAACATTGTCAATAACTCTGTCAATGGCCCCACTGTATTATAAGCTAACAGAAATACCTGTCAAAGCATAATGAAAGAAATTTATTTATTTATTTATGTACATATGTATTTATTTGCGGATTATTTAACAACTGTCAGTAGCTCAGACTACACAGCATCAGATAAGAGGATGATTAATGAACAAAGCAGAGGAAAGAATATGTAACAAAGTGGTCATGAACTACAAAGGAAATAAAAATTTGCAACATTTCATAATTTTCAAGTTAAAATTATAATACTAAGTGAATCAAACACAAAGGAGGTTAATCTGTTTTTTCTTCCAAAGCTTATAATACATTTTGCTCCAAATTCACTACTCTTCAGATGTTCAAAATCATTTTCAGACTTTGTTACTCAACATTTTCTTTTGGCGAATACACTAGGCTCTCAATCAGCCATGACCGAATTAACTGCAATGCTTTTAGTAATGTTAACAGCCTAAATCAGAGAAAAAACCTTATACACATTGTGACCATCTTTAGATGTCTGAATGTATTAAGTGTGATCACTGTGCCACACCACTTCAAACTTCATCTTTTAAGAATTTTATGAACATGACAGCCAACCTAACCTAAGAACCTCTCCCTTCTTTCCAACCTCAAAATATGTTTTGCAGCCAATTCTTAATAGATGATCCACGTATCAGTGAAAGTACTGCTCAGTGTGCAACATGGTTCAGTGACATTGTACATAAGTGGCATAGGTTATTGAATCATTGAAGATTTTATAGTGGGTTCCTGCTACAGGCAATAAGCAATAAGCTGGGGTAACTCAGTCACTACAGTGTCTGATTACAGACTGAACAACTGTGGTTTGATTCCTGGCAGGGGCAAAGGAGTTTTCTTCTAGCTTCAGCATTCAGATTGGCTTTTGAGCCCACCCAGCCTTCCACCCAATGCATACCAAGGATACTTTCTCTGAGGGAAATGTATGACCAGGGCACGACACTTATCACTCACCCCAATCTAGTGCCAAGATCATGAATTAGTAGGACCTGTATCTACTCCCCCCTCCAAGCATCTCCATAGCATATAGTGGAAAAGCTTTCCCTAATTTAAAAGCAAATTATATAAGTTATTTAATGATTCATGCCATTTCTCTCTTCCATTCAGGTGGATAACCAAGAACGTGCTATAGTAATTTCATGTTCAGTTTGGTTTAAATAATTAACTGTTCAAAAACACTGAAAATGCCTTACACAAACAAAAAGCATATTTCTGGCTTCACCTGAACCAGTTACAAGCATTTACAATTACAACATTGATTTATGCATAATTAATTACTTCATCACAGGGTTCATATGTATTAACTAACTAACTTTGTAGTTGACAATAGCGATATTTTTTAAAAGTTACTTCTGTCATTACATTATTTAGGAGTGTCATGATACAGATTTATATTACAGTTAACGATGCATTTTTCCAAAAACAACAAACTGCCGACGAACAAAATATAAAATGGATAGAAGACATAGAATTGTCACAATTTTCAATGCATCTGGCGCGTTAAGCGCCCGCCTCTCAAAAACCGTAAGAGATGGATCTGGACATATTGCATATGAAATACGTATTACCTCTTCAGCTTTCCATATCTGTTTTCAGATTTTACATATCACAAATGGTTTAGGTTCTACAAACATTTATTTATACAAATAAAGGTGCATCGCACTTCACGCTACTGCTGCGTTTGTGTATTTATGTCAGATTCTCCGGAACCGTGGTTCCATTGTCAATTTTTTAACATACTGACTATAATAAATGGCTAAAATTATGTAAAGAACAAAATTTTACAATACTTACATTAGCACCATACACAATACAACATTTAATAGCTTTCAATATATTGACAGTTCCACCTCCAAATTTACACTGAACGTTTGTTCATACTTAACTTTGACAAGCAATTTTTTCAGAAGTTGAACATTGTAGTTTCTTGAAAAATCAAAGGTCAAAAGACCTTTAATGGCCTCTACTTCTTAATAACACAATGGTACAATAGATAATTTTAAAGCTTGATGAGCTTTAAAACAAGCCCAACTGCAGCTCTACACTTTAGGCTGAACCACATTAGAACAAATTTATGATCTGAGTCTAAATTTCCAGTTATTTCAAATTTTAAAATGCTAATAGCTTAAAAAATATTTAAAATACACATCTGACACTTTACATATGTTCATTTATGTGTGGAAGCATGCAAACCAAATAAGATTTGAGGTTCTCATGGTATCGAGTATGAAGACAGATGTCTTCTGCGTTGTAGAGCTATGTAGTGTGGTATAAGTTTACCAGTATTTCAGAGGTCCTTGCTGCTTCCATCATCAGGACACTCTGAACTGCTGGTAAACTTCTACCATACTACGTGGCACAACCCAGAAAACAGCCATTCTTAATAACACAATCCTTCCACTCCTCTGGCAATTCTTCCTTGTTCTAAATGTAATTAAGTAATTAATAAGTCATATGTAAGCTTCCTTTTGTGGTTCATATAAAACATTATCTTCAGTAGTCCATCAACACACATCAATAATACTTATCACATCACTGTTAACATCAACTTTATTAAAGTTACTGCTGATGCAAAACAAGTATTTATGATTACATATTTTGAACTCTACAGGCCTTCTTCATGTAGCAATAAACTTAATGTAATGTATGTAAAATATCACATGTAGTCACTAACAGTAAGTAATATTGTATTAGATGTAACTCTAAATTTTTAAAATATAAGAACCCTATTAAAACTAATTAAAATATAGTAAGCACCAATATGAAATGTGAAAGAAAATCAAAAATAAGAATTATATATTGAGATATGAGTTATATACTTTAGGTCTGAAACATGTCATAACCACATAAACTTATTTTTCATCAACAGTGATTCTAATAAGTATGAAATGAATTACTGACAAACGATGAAGATAACGTACAATTAATAAGTTTCATCGATTCTTCTCATATTTGATCAATACCCACCACATTATAACTTTTCAGCTTCTCAACAGGCACAAGTACCTATATCTCAGCCATACATAATTCACTCCCCCAAACATTATTAACTCCACGAGCATTCAATTTATGACAAAAGTAATTCCTCTACCTATTCAAAATTGGTAGAAAATTTATTGCAAATCATCACTTGCTGAATGTTACAACTACCCTAACATCCATAAGCCACCTGGTTACAACAAAGGACACAGTGGAATTCTGTGATGCCTATAACATCCACAATGCAAAATGAAAACCTGTTTGATAATTGGTCACCACACAGGGCCAACGAACGGCACCACATAACTAACACAAAATTCTACAAGTTACCTAACAAACCATTCTCACTGAAATATGAGTTCATTTTATTAAAGAATAAATTTCCATTTGGAACTTGCCAAAATAACATGAACAAGCCATAGTTGCACATAACAAAATAAACAATCAATAAATGATTAAAATGTGAAATCTATATTAAACACAAATTTTCCTTACAAAATAAAATGAGACTTACTAGATCATACACAGACCTGTCAATTTTTAATGATTCATCGCCCATCCATGGAATTAAATGTTTTCCCTGATCAATGAAAAGGGCCTTTTCATCGTCACGGAAAAGTTTGCAGGAATATCCAAACACTAGGAGTTCATCTTCTTCTTCTTTTTTGCGAAGTATCCCGGAATCATTATTCAACCAAATCTGCCTACAACCAGCCATTTTAATTTTTCCGAATATTTACACCACGCATGCGTCTTAGCCGAGGGACACTGAATACAAAATTATTTTCCATCACAGAAAAAGAATTCAAGGATGGGTAAGAACTGGTCAGTTTCTGAACGGTTGCTACATATATATCTATGGAAACTATCGCTGCTTACATACCACTGTCCTACGATGTCAGAATTAATCTTTCTCCACACACAGTGCTACTACTACCAAAAATTTATTAAAATCCACTTCTGAAAAAACAAATTGGCCCTAATTACCTGCCAGGAAGTAGTTTGCACATAAATACACTTTTCCCAAAGTTAATTACGTAATTATCAATAGTTAGTGGTTTGGTCTATTATGGTGTAATTTGTTTTTGGGATATGTATTCTTTCAACATTGTTCTCAATTGTGCCCTCACTTAATCCACAAATTGCTTAAAATAATAGTATATTTCATCAGGCACTTTTATAATTTCGGAAACTATAATTATTTCTGTAATACAAGCTGGGGTAGTGAAATCTTTGAAAGTAAGATGTTAAGTGTATACAAACAAAATTAACATTTCGAATAAAAATACGAATTCTACGGAAAATCAGAGACACCAGTGGAATATAAGGAAATTTAATTACGGAAGAGGGAATAAGCGCTGAGGAAGGAACATATGCCCTATCAAGTTACTTATCCTGCAGTGTGTGTGTGTAGGTTGGTACACTGTGTTGTGTAATATTGCGAATGTGGTGATGAAAATAGTAATACCTGTGCTCAGTTGTCGCGATAAAGTAGTTGAAATTTCAATTTGAGGTGGTGAACTGATTTTGTATTGCAAAAATAATTACAAGAATTAACAGTAACCGTGTAAAGGGAAGTATTAATCATGCCTGAGAATGAATACAGTGCAGGTGGAAATGCAGGTGACAGCAGAGAAGAGCCTGGTGACAGATCCCAACGACTTACAAATGACGATTTTAGGAGGTTATTAATGACACCTAGGTCTTCAGTTCCATCGTCACTGCCGTCATCATTAGCCCCAACTAGAGATACCGTCACTGTTCCTCCAGATGCAGAAGGTGATGACAGAGCTGAGAGACGACGTAAGAAAAAAAGTTTTTATGCCAAACTTAAGAAGCAGGAAGATGATAAAATGGCAGAACTTGCAAAGAAGTACCGTGATCGAGCAGGTGAGAGGCGAGATGGGGCTAACCCAGACTATCAAGCAGAAGATCCTCTTTCGACAGCAAGTGGTTACCGTGCTGTGGCTCCAGATCTGAAATCTGGTATGGATGCAGCAGAAAGACGTCGTCAGATGATTCAAGAATCAAAGTTCTTGGGAGGTGACATGGAGCATACTCATTTAGTGAAAGGGCTGGACTATGCTTTACTGCAGAAGGTTCGCAGTGAAATCCAAGCAAAAGAGCAAGAACAGGAGGAAGAAATGGAAAAGCTTGTAAAAACAAAAAAAGAAAAAAAAGATGATGAAGAGGAAATGAATTTCAAAACAAAATTGGGACGGAATGTCTACAGAGCACTTTTCAAGTCCAGGGCTTCTGAGAAAAATGAGCTGTTTGCACCAGGTAGAATGGCTTATGTGATAGATCTTGAGGATGAACTGGCTGAGAGTGATATCCCAACAACTCTGATTAGGAGTCGTTCTGATGTACCAAGTCTTGAGGCTACTGCTACCCTTACTACAAATGATATAGTTATCAACAAGTTGGCTCAAATTCTGTCATATCTACGACAAGGAGGTCGCCACAGTAAGAAATCAAGGAAGAAGGATAAAGGTCGGGCAGGTGGCGATATTAAGGGTGGGAGTAAAGGTTTGGTGGATGAAAGCATATATGGTGAGATTGGAGATTATGTTCCTGCAGTGTCCAGAAGGGATGGTGGCAATGATGGGGACAAAGAACAAGAGAAACGACGGGCCCCATACTTTGAGAAACCATCAGAGGAAACAGCTGCTTGGGGTGCTTCTGGAGGGAAACCCAAAACAGAACCACGTGTTACTAGTAAACTGGAACCAGTAGACAAAATTTCAGCAATACCAAAGAGAGAAATGGGACAGAACCAAAGTCGTGCTCAGCAGTTGTTGACGAGACTGGCTGCAGAACCAGAGGGATATGCTGAATGTTATCCAGGTCTGGAAGAAATGCAGGATGCTATTGACGATTCCGATGATGAAGTAGATTATACCAAAATGGACCTTGGAAACAAGAAGGGGCCAATAGGAAGATGGGACTTTGACACTCAAGAAGAATATAGTGATTACATGAATAACAAAGAGGCCTTACCTAAGGCTGCTTTTCAGTATGGGGTCAAAATGGCAGATGGGCGACGTACAAGGAAATATCACAAAGAGAAGAATGAGAAGGCAGAACTTGATAGAGAATGGCAGAAGATTCAAAATATCATTCAGAAACGCAAGATTCCAGCACCAGCAGAGTCAGAATTCAAGAAGCCTAAATATTAAAAGAAATATATTATTGCAGTATGGTTCAGAAGAAGATTTGACTGCAAGTTTTCTTTGTCAATTAAAAGAAATATTATTTACTTTCTATTTTAGATACATTGTATAAGTTACTTGTTCATCATGTATCTTACTAATATCTATAATCTGTGTTACATGATTTAAACATGATCTAGCTGACCATGTGTGACACTAGCGTACTGCTAAATCCCAGAGTTAACGTCTGGCTGGCAGTCCAGTAGTATGAGGACTTAAACTTCCTATTCCTGTACAATAAATATTAAAGATATTTCTGATTTTATATTATTTCATGTAATCATTAAAGTTGTATGAAGTAAATAACAGTGCACAGTTTTTATCAGCAGAATAAAAAATGTAGTTTAAATTGGATATTGAAAAATAATTTTACTAGCATTAGCAAATATACAGAAGATAGATGTTTCATTATTTACGATAAAAGGTATTACTAGGGCAACATGTTTCAACCCCATTGGTTCATCTCCATGCCCTTATAGATACATGCATATAATCTGAGGCAAAATCACACGTAATTTGAGTGTGTTTGGAATTTATATTAAAATATATGATTATTTTCTAAAGATTCTCTATATTTGCTAATAATAATCGCAGTAGAATGCATAAAATGGATAAGGCATCGTGCAGAAATTAACAATAATTTGAAGTAATTTAACTTTGGTATCTGAAGGTAGCACTCCTATAATAGCATCAATTGATATAATGTATCAGTTCTCAAAGAGGAAAAATTCAGGAATAAAAATGCAGTCTTCATGGGTGCAAACATGTTTCAACAGCAATTTTTTATCGCCAATTAATGTGCTTGGATGAACACCTGTCTCTCTGGACATTTTTTTTTCGAACTGCCTGCATGCTCATCATTCATTCCAGTCATTTGTCACAGTTCATCCTCAAGCAGCTGATATTTCCATTATGAGAAGAAGGGGAGGTAAACTAAGTATGTCCCTTATATGGAGTTTGGCAAAAGATGAAGAAATGAAAATGGAAGTGTTCTGACAGATAGTCGGAATACAGGAAATACACTGTCGTGCATTATTTCCAACAAATCCACTGAATATTCTCTGTACTTCCATCTTAATGTACTTAATGGTTTTCCTGTTTCAGTGAATGTTGGGACATACCTTCAAGCAGGCAAATCATTATCTGCTTATTATATTATCTTATCATAACATTAGGTATTACATAGCCTGTACAAGGAAGAACGCTTGCCCTGTGAAGGCATACCATTACAATGACCAAGAGGTATTATTAAAATGGATATTAGCAAAATACATTTTGAAGATGTAATCTGTTGTGTCCACACCAGTGGAAATTTCATTGATATTAACTGCTAAAGAAATATTTTGTACCAAGGAGTTCGTTGGCTATAGAAATAACACATTAGAGTAGTTCAGCTTTATTACACTATTTTCATATTTAATTATGTCAACATGTCTGCATTTTGCCATAGGCACAGTACTTATTCTGTATCTTTTGGTGACTACAGCTTCTGGAGTGTCAGTATATTTAATTCTGATGTTTCCTAGTCATAAATTGTTCCTTTCTGACATGATTAGGATTTGAATACTTTCTGTGATTATTAACTTTGTGTTAATTTCATACTGCATATTGTGAACAAGTTAATGTCATCATAACAACCAGAATTCCTCTGCAGTGAACTCTGGGATTATTCAAATTTTTATGATTTGTTCAATTTCTTCATGAAAATAGATTCAAACAAAACATGACTCACTTTGCTTTACTTTTAATCCCAATAAAATTTTCTCAGCAATAAGGCTTGATGCCCGATACAATGTCACCGAGTTCAGTTGCCATGAAAGTTTAAAGACTTATAATTACTAATAATGTTCATCTGTCTTCCACCACTGTTGTTTCAACGTCGATGGTTAGTCTATGTTTCTCAGAATCATTCCTACTCAAATTACCATCCAGTACCCACATGACAAAGGTATTGAGTGGATAGCTGAAGGTTTATGTGTCAAGTATGTGTGTTGTAAAATTCCTTTGTTCCTACATGAATAATTTTTGTAAATACTTTAACTTTTTATGTAAGAAAAATAGGTAATTATGAAATGTGTGACTTTTGGTCATGCATTCTTTCTTTTTTCAGTGAATATGAGTGGAATTATACCATATTAATGACCTAACACTTACACAGTAAAACTATTTTTGTGACATTATCACAAGCTTGATTATATGAGAAAATTATATGCTTTATGTTTCTGTACCATATTCTGTACAAGTATCACAAAAATAAGTGTCATGAATTTTGTATTTTCTCTTTACAATACCTTGATACCATGGAATTCCATTTGACAGTGTGCCTACTAAATCATCAAGTTCTGTAGTGTATTTCTGCTGTCAAGTCTTCAGAACAAAATTCCACTGACAAGAAATCAGTCTGAACATTTAGCACTTTTGATATGTATAAGAATGAGCCAGTCTCAGAAGTTAATGATGTAAAGAAAACCATACTCATACACTGAGTCATATTTTGTCCTCTTGTGAGGAAAAATCTCTATAGCACATTTTTTTCCCCAACTGTAGTTAGGTTGTGAAATTTGGAATGACTTTGGACATTCAAAATAGGTTAGATGATTAGGCAATGGCTTCTCAGTTCTTCAGGACAGGTTGATGTAAACATGCACATGAGGGGTTATAACAACATGATACAAGTGTTTCTGAAAATACAACGAAAAGTATCAATGACAGTACAAGTAAAGATGATAACTTAATAACTATAACTGGAGGATGAAGATGTATTAGTATTATACAGCATATTGGCATCTACAGCCTTGTAACATTTGTTGCATTATTTACAAACAGATATTCTTGATAATCTTCTAAGTCATACACAAGTGAACCATACGTGAGGAAGAAAATGCACAAAATGATGAGGCAGATTATATTCATTCCAATGCCAGCTTTCATCTACAAACAAACAGAAGGAGCATTAAAACACGTACAATGTATGTAAATGGAGGTCGTCATAGTTGTAACATCTGGAATCCTGGTTGGCTATCGAGTTGATCTTTATGGTGTCCTTCCTTTCTGCAGGAAAATCCTGGTCTAGTTTCTTTACTTATGTATTTGTGGTATATTTACCAATGCTGTTTGCTCAGACTATACAGGTTGATTCTATATTCTCCAAATTTTAATGGTGAATTACACATCCAATAGTAATTATAAAGAAAGTTTTCAACTTCTTGGATGCTACAATTTGACAAAGCACTTGGTGAGCATAACTAGTAGCTGTACACATTGCATGGCTGTACATCAAATTGTCTATCTCAGTGGTGGCATTAAAATGGAAATTTCATATGAAAACAGAGCAATAGTTGTGCACCAGATGGCACTGGTGACGGTGAAGCTGTAAATGCACTAATGTCTATGCACAGTTCTGTTGGTCTAGCACTTGTGTTGATAATTCTGTTTACCCTCACAGCTTGCTAGCCAGCCATCATATGCAGATGGGAAGAAAGCGCAGTTAGATGTTCACTGTGACTAGCATCGTCTGGTACAATTCTGATGCCCTGTACATGACATCTCAATAATAACAGTAATTATCTCCACTCTGTGGTAGGCAGTTTGACGTACAGCCACACAACTCTTATGCTCATCAGGTGCTTTCTCTATCAAACTACACCGTGTAAGAAAACTTGAAAACTAAAGATTTGTGGACCCATGTTTATATAAACATTAATTGTTTTTGGGATGCACAACTCACCACTAAAGTTTGTATGTTTAATATAGAATCACCCAGTATAGCACTGAATGTTAAGATCACTAATAATTAATGAACTGAAAAAAATATGGAAGGAGGTTGTCATGACCTAAGTTAAGGTACTATCCCGGATGTGCCAGGAGGAAGTGAGGAGGCCACAAAAAGCCTCTGTTAGGATAACCAGTCTTAAAGCCAAGACTGTGCTAATACATTAAAACAGTACATGACTACTGTCTCCACACATCACCCATCTCATCATACTGTGTGCCCGTGCATATTAAATACCAAGACATTAAATGTTGGTCTGCTCTGTAAAGACGAAAAGTAATAACATTTTATCCGTAACTCACCATGTCTGTTGTCTTCATGTTAGAGGCTGCAAGAACAATAGCATTGGGAGGAGTTGCCACTGGTAACATGAAGGCATAAGAACAACACAGAGTTGCTGGGATCATAAAGTACAGAGGATGGATTTTCATTGCCACAGCCTGCAAGAAACAATATTCATGCATCTAAACAGCCTTGATAGAAGATTGCAACAAATTCATACTCCTCACAGCTCATGATTCAGAAACCATTGAATATACAGAACTCCATATAATACAAAAATAATGGAAGAATTAGATAACTGAGAAAGTAACACTGAGTGTGTAACATGTATTGATGTAAAGGGCATCTAACTGATTGGTCTGCCAGCATGAAATTTATTACTTCCAGCTTTCTCAGCACCATACAAACAACTTTCTTTTTGTGCGCTATTCATGCTTATTAAACACCAGCTTCCTGCTAGGCTGCCAAAAATATGGCAATTGACTAACCAAAGAAAATTTGTGCCATCATTCAAAGCACCATTCCAGATCTGAACACCTTGAACTTCATAATACTAGTATGATTCACTTTACCATTTGGGCTAACACAGGCAAGGTGATATTGGCAATTGCTGTATTCGATGACACTTCAGTAAGGAAAGTAGTTGCAGTTGCAACAATGATGAGGATTAAGAATGGGGGCAGCACTTCTAGGTACACCAGTTCTTTACCCAGGTAAGTTGACAGACCTGATTCATTGCTAGCAGCTGCCATTGCAAAACCTCCACCTAAAATGAAACAGTAATAAAAATTCAGTTTGCCTAACCAGTACTATGTACACAATTTCATTTAGGCAGGGTTACAAAATTAATTTATAAAAGTTGAATTTATTACCTAAATTCATTAAAAGTAGCTGCATTACTCTTGACTTATGTTGGTAATATCATCACCAAATAATTCCTTCCTCTACTAAAGTTTGCCAAGAAAAAGAAGTAATCGAAAGAATGGTATATACTTCCCTTCACATACTTCAATCTATGCGGAAAGAATTATAAATTTATACTTACAACATTTGGTGACACTTGTTTGTACATCACTTCCACAAGTACATATTTTGATGATGTTAAATTTCTCAGACATAACCTTAAAGTTTTGTACTGTCACTATGTTGGCATGAAAGGAATGTTTCATACAGTATTTGATAGTAAATTTCTGACATCCATGCAAAACTTCACATCCCTATTTACAGTGGTATTATTAGTTATCTCCATTATACCTACAACTAAAGTTAATATAAGAAATTGAAGAGACATTTCTATCAGAGAGGGAGGGTTTCAAGCCACAAATACTCCTCTAAGAAACTGCCTGACTGAACATGTGACATTTTTAGAAAGCATGAGTAACAACAGAATATATGGAAATTGAATAAAGATTTAATCAAACAGCCTAAAACTGCACTTTGAAGAATCTTAATAACAGAAAAGAAAGTCATAAATGCAAGGAGCAACTCTGAAATGAATCGCATGCCACTATTTACCTTTAGTTACAAATATAAATTTATTTCATGTATTCTGACAGTGCAAATTTGAAAGAAGGAATTCAGAGCCTCACCTACTGAAACTGAATTTCTTGTAGCATGTCTAACTTGAAAAGAATGAAAACTGAATCAAATGTGTTCCAGTGTATCTAAGTCTAAACTCATATATTTTTAATACTGCTACACTTACAAAAGTACTACATATACCAACCAAGGAGACAGACGAGGCCCCAGGGCACCTTTTCATGAACAACTTTCCATGTGAGTAGAGCCGGTGCAGCTTTTGCTGGTCGCCTCTCTGCAAAACAAAACCTGTGTTGCAATACTAAATAAAAACATAGGCTACAAATTTACTTAAGGTTGGCCAATGAAGTTCAATTCTGTGGGAAAGCTCATTATAAGGAATGACACAAACCAACTATGCTGTTGATACACATTCAGATATTTCCAGCATACAACTTTTTTTTTACAGCTAAAGTGCTCACTAAAGGTGTTTTAAGCTATATTCTGAAAGCAACTGTAAGATCAATTTGGTTAGTATAAATGCATTTACAAATGTTTATGAAATTATTTTTGTGCTGAAAAATTCCACCATGACAGCAGTGTAAACCATGAAAAAGAATTAAGAGATCAGTCTTCACTACCATCTCTACTTGCTTCATACTTTAGTTGGAGGTTGATTAATCCCATTTCTGCATACACTGCTGGATCATGTGAGGCCAGTGGATGCATTTTGTTATCTGGATGAACGCTTCTAGTACAGCCCTATTCATGAAATTGTGTGCCATTATAAGATGACCCCCAATTTTTTAGACAATGAATTAGGAAAAATTTTCGTCTTATATTCGGATAAATATGGCATGTCATTTGTACAGCCCACCTACTACTGTTATGGTAGTTAAAACAAGAAGGGATGAGGCAAATGTGAATAATGCAACAGAGAAATAGGATTACATATATACAAGATCTTGGTGAGGAAACTGCTTGGAAAGCAGTCATTTGGAAGACTCAAATGTATTTTATTTATACACCTATTTATGGTTTATTTGATTTTGTTTGCAGTTGCTGAGATAATACTGATTCAAACGATTAACTCGAAACAGTGTGGAAGGAAGCAGTCATGCCCTAATGTAATGCACTATACTGGCATTTGTCTGAAGGGACTGAGATGAACCATGAAAAAAACAGTCTGAATAGCCAGTCTCTGGACTTAGACCTGAATTAAAGACCACCCAAAAACAAAGCAGGCATGCTGTCTACATCTTCAGCTATCAGTGGTCATCTTCACTGCTATAAGAACTTCAACTCTCACATGGACTGAACTGAATTATTGGCTGGTCTTGAATTTTCAAGTCCTGTTACCAGAGTTGGTTATTTCCTTTATTACTTACTTACTTAACAAGACAAACAGAGAATGCTCTTCAAACAGACTTACCATTAGAGTCAAACCGCAGGAAGTCAAGGTTTGCTGGAAGCACGAACAACAGGAATACAATTAGCATGACTGGAGTAGCATCATCAATTTCACTGCAAAATAACAACACATTCATCTAGAATTACCTTTAAAGTTAAACTTGAGCAATAAACAGATTTTTTCTTATTTTAAGTATCATTGCTTTACTGTTATTGGCCTTACCTGGCAAGCACTTATATAAATTAGTTGAATTGAATTATATCTGTTCACCTTTGTGCTTTTAAATTCCCTGCCAACATAGCAACCATGTGCCTTTCATAAATGACTTGAGACTTTATGGGATGCAAAATGCAGAAGGTGTGTGATAAGAACTGGAATGATTTGCACTTTGGCTTGATCCTCAGATGTGTATACAAATAATGACAAGGGCTAAGGGATCTTAGTATCACTGGCAAGCCAATATATTTCACATTGGTAACAGCTCATTACATCGAACAGACTGACCAAAACCAAGAATTACACTAAATAGGATTAGGTTTTCATGGCAGCAAGTCTGGAGATGGCTGTCTTCTAGGTTGTAGCACTGTGTAGTCTGGTAGGATCTTACCAACGTTTCAGAGGTCGTTGATACCTCCACTTACTGCCTCCACCGTGATGATGGAGGCAGGAGAAACACGTTGGTAAATTTTTACAGACTACATGGTGCTACAACCAAGAAGACAACTATCTTCAAAGAATTCCACTGTTTGCATACCAAGCAAACTGTACTGAAGCATTGGTGTAAAGATTTGTAGTGAGATAATGCTTCCAAAGGCTTTGGAGGAAAAAAAAAAACTATGGCTGACAAAATGGATAATTCACCTGCATAAAACCAAAAGCCTACTGTAGTGAAAATAAACCTGCAAACTGTGATCTGTTTCTGAAATAAGTTTTCAGTCCTTTAAATTAAAATACTCACACAGTTGCAACAAATTCGGCCCATCCTGGTATAAACTCTGGTTTTCGGAAGAACCAAAGGATCACGACAATAATAAAGAGTATTAGGACTGAGCCTTCATGGAAAGTCATTGGTCCTAATTCTTCATACTTCACACTGATAACTTCTCGAACTATCTTAGCTTCTTCTTCATTTGATTTCCTTTTGTCTTCTTCCTTCTTTTTTCTGAAAAAGTAAAGTACAGAACAAAATCAAATATCAACACTTGCTGCAAGAACTGCATAGTACTTCATTTCTATACTGATGACTCACAGAACACTATTGTTTCAGAACATACATTCCCAGTTTACTAAATACTTCTCTTGTCATGTAAGGAAATAAGATTTTCATGATTTAAAGTTCTGAACTATTATTGATATTTTGAACTTCAACAAAATCCTAACATACTCCTTCAACTTATCACAGTCTCTAACTAGCCATGACATTTCTAGGAGATACTGTATAACAAAGAAATATTTTAAATGCATGCTCCCTGAAAGATCAGGCATCAAGTACACATGAAGCTGTCTCCTATCTATCAAAATGTGTACTTTCATAACTAAGGGACTGGTGACAAGTTGTATGAAGAACATGGATATTAAACATTTACCTGAACAATCCCATAAACAGAATCTGAAGCCATATCCAAGCAGCCAACATATTTATTAACATTAATGGCGTACAAAAAATAAACCAACTCGCAAAGTTCACTCCACCAGCCTCTGGAAATGTTCTGAAATAACGAATGCAAAGAAATATAAAATACAATTTCTAACGTTTCATTAAGCAAACACTGAGAAACAGTAATAAATGTTATGTATGTAACCATGTTATTATATACAAAGTCATGCCTAGCATTTATTATAATAATAAATCCCATCTGGGGATCCCGGAAATCAAGTCATACAAAAATGGAATAGATAGAAAGAAGTGAATATAAGACGGAAACCTGACAAGACATGTCAGTCACATTACATCTATTCTATAAGACAAGTGTCATGTGAGTTTGGGCTACCCCAACATACTTCACAACTCTCTCCCAATTGTTACCTACACACAACAACTCACAAATGTCCATCTGTCTGCCATGCTGTCCTATGCATGCCCTGTACAAACACAAACAAATTCCCAGAAATACTCAAAGTTAAATAATAGTGGTGTGGATTAAAGTTCCGTTGTTATTCTGAGGATACTTTCCTCCTGTCAAACCATGCTGATTGACAAGGTTACTTAGAAAAATAATTATTGTTACCAAGATAAGATGGCAAAGATGAAATTCTGGTGAATGCATCACGATTATTACACTATGTGTACATATTCTACCTTATTAAATTTTAGCAGTGGATGAATTTTTAAAACTTCAAATATACTTGTTTCCACATTAATCAGTCTTCTATGCCTGCTATGATAATACTGCAGAATTAAGTTCTGCTACGTCAGTGATTTCAGCAACATTTGTATTTATCTAATAATAAATCTCTTGTAAAAAATGTTTGGTTCAAGAGCTATGGAACTTCCTTGTTTTGGAATACAGACTGCATTTTATGGTTATGAATATTCAATGTTGAAGACAAATGTTATGGTTGCCAGAGTTCAAGGAAATACACTATAAAACTATAGCAATTTTAAAAACAGACATAAAAATATATTTTTATGGAACACATTTTATGCTCTTAAGGGTTACATATTATTCTAATGAAATGTCCATACTTCATTTACTTGTCTAACTTCAGTTTTTGGGTGAGAGCCATGTCAAATGTTTGGTGTTAATCAATATTTTGGCAAACATAGCAGTTACCATTTTCAAGGTGGGCAGGCAGTGAGTGGCAAGATAAATTTGATGGTGTTGACTGGTTAAGTGGAGCAGTGGGATGCTATCCAATGGATGAGGAGCAATTGGTTAGGCTGGAGGTGATGGAATTTTGGCAGCATGTGACAAAGACGTTCCGGTGACCATGTTGGATGGGAAAGGATATGCAGCGACTAAGTGGAAGGGAGTAGCGGCTGTTCATTGACCACGAGGTTCAGAGAGGTGATGGTGGACCTGTCTTTTGAGGGCCCAGTAGAGTCAATGGTTTGAGAGAAAACAGGCATTGCTTAGCCTGTAGCCACCTTTGCAGTTGAAGTTGTGTGAGTGCTTGGACATCTTGATTACCTCCCTGATTGTGTGGGGACAGTAGCTGCCGATGTTCATAATGACTTTATTTTGTCAAAGTCAATGCCGTGTCTAGCGGTTGTAAAATACTTGGTTACCACTGATCATTGGTTCCCTATTATGGTCTCTCTGATGTGTTCCATAATCCTGGTGGAGATGTGTCAGCTGGTACGTCTGATGTAAACCTCGACAAAGGAACGCAGGATCCTGCACACACCTGATTTTTGAGTTGGGAGTTGCTGGTCTTCAGTGAAATTAAATTATGAAGCCATTATGTTAATTGGTTTCTATATTGTGTGAATATTGTGTTTTAGCAGTAGCCTGGAGATACAATCAGTGGTCCCTTGGATATATGGTAGGTATGCCCTGTGGTTACGATTTTTTCTGATATTCCTCCTGTTCAATCTGGGTTTGGGCATTCTGTCAAGATACTGCAGGGAGTTCAAAGAACAGACATGACATGTTGTAGTTCTGAGGACCGGCTGGCCTTGTCACAAATAGTATTCATTCTGTCTCTCAGGGTGGTGATGACAGACTTCTTGCAAGCCCGTGGGTGGTGCAATGCTGTCTGCAAGTATCTGCCTGAATGGGTGGCTACCCTGTTGACAGTGCACCCCAGTGAACTGTCCAGGCATCGGTTGACCAAGGCATCCAGAAAGGTTAGTCGACAATCCCTTTTAGTTCCATGGAAAACATGATGTTTGGGTGCCTGGAGTTTAGATGCCTCAGGAAGTCCTTGAGGGAAGCTAGTCCATGTGCTCAAATTGCAAAAACATCATCCACATATCTATGCCAGCATTGTTTATCCATTTGGCTGGAGTCAGTGGGTTCTACTTTCAGAGCTGTCATGAATTGGACTTGCTGGTAGAATGAAGAGTTGACACAGTGTTCTATAAGGCTGCAGAGATTTTGTGGGAGGTCTGCCGCTGTTGTATGCTCCCAGACTATCTCCAGTGTGCTCTGTATAAGAACCTTTATGAAAAGTGATTCCATGTCAAAGCTAATGAGGATGTTACAATCTGCAAGTGTGAATTGAATCAGAAGTTGCTTAAGTGTTGCAAGTTCTGTACGTAGGATGCTGGGCATGGGATGGTTGGAAGGAGTATTTTGTGTAAGTTTGTGGGTTTGGGAGCCTGTAGCACTGACTATGGGTCGTAGAGGAGCATCGAGTTTGTGAAATTTGGGGAGGCCATGGAAGGTAGGAGATCTGGTTTCTTCTGGGGTCAGGAGTTTTTATGTTTTGACTGGAATGGAGGATGGTTGGATCAGTTTCTTGGTTTGTCTTTCCATCCATTTCATCAGGGTGCAGTTGGTGGGTTTGTAAGTCGGATCAGATGGAATAGTATAAATCTTTTTGGAGTAGTCCAAGGAGTTCAGAATGACAGCGGTGGTCCCCTTGTCTGCCAGTACAATGTAGATGTCGTTGTTCGCCTGGGACTTTCTTGTTTCTACTACCAAATGATAATTTTGTACAGCAACAAATATGGCTGATATGTTTTACTGAGAGTTTACCTAACTAATGCTGACATTACATACAATGTAACCTGTTGCCAATTTAATAAATTTTGGCCCCAGGTGATTAATTTCAACACCAAGGATAATTATAATCCCTAAATCACTCAAGTCAAATGGAGGGACATATATCTGCAATGTTCAAATCCAGAAGAAATGTGTTTCTATATAGTTGGAATAATTCTACCAATATTAAGAAAACAGAATACTCTCAATTTAATAAACTGATCATCAGACCTTTCATGCCCCAGATGGGAAATCATTCAACAAGGGCCGCAGACTCACGTGTCCCATATCCCCTTGAAGGTGAGATTGGTTCCTGTCCCAGTCAGCGTGCCAGCTCCACCCAAGTTTGATGCATATGCCACTCCTAGGTAGTAGCAGATGTCAGTTTTTTCTGGACGATCATTTTGCCTGGAATTAACATGTGAGGCTCTGTTTCTTCAATTACACTTCTTCAGGTGAGGAAACTGTTAAAATATTATTCAACATAAGTTTTACCACTAAACATTGTCACTGATCAGTATAAACTGAGTAGAACATCATTCACCCAACATATTCAGGACAGAGTTGCAGTTCCAATTTGAGTGATTCACGACATTCCAAAGCTAACCATGCTACCAACTGGTACAGCAATGGTAGTCTTCGACCTGAAAATCTCCTGCAATGACCTACAGCAAACAATCTATAGAAGGTGGACAGCACAAAAGCCATGTTTCAGCAAAGAGCACTGTGCATCTCAACATAAGCATCGAGCAGACACATAATACCCCAGAAATCATCCCATACCAGAGAACACTACGAGAGAGACATGAAAGGCAATCGCTGTCCCAGAAAAGTTCTACTGTATGGATACCTTATTAACGGATGACTGGAAGGGACCATATTTCAAACTTCGACATACCTACAAACGATTTGCTGTTGACAGTTTCACAGAAGGATCAGCATGAACAGGGACTACTACACACCTGGTCCAGCTTGCAGATGTATACTACGTGGCAACAGGCGCACATGATATCATCTAAGGAACTGCGGCAACAGAACGCGATCCCTGAACTCACTCACAGCAGACTGATGAGAACAGAGCAAGGCAACAGAATGCGATCCCTCAACTCGCTCACAGCAGACTATAGTGATGACACAGCGAGGCACCTTGCAACCTGACATGCACCACATTAACGTACATAACGTTGTGCACATTGTGTTCATTCCTAATCAATAAAAAATTCCTTGGCATCTATTCTAACTAAATGTGGTCATAAAAAGTACCTTCATATACATTACTCCACATATTTCAGAGAAGCTGAACCTCAAATTTTGTCCCTCAGATATAAATTTATACTGTGCAAACATAAATAAATCCCACTTTTCTGTCATAATGTATGGGTACTGCCTAAATTTTTAAATAATTTTGTTGTGTTCTACTTTAGAGTTACATTGGTTTCATTTTTATATTTAATTTTTGTTCATTAGTGTTTCAATATATTTTTTCTTCAAGGCCTGTGGGAAATGAACTGGGGCAGGAAAATTAAATAAAAATGTCCCCATAAAAATAACATGCTTTCAAAAGTCTTGTAATATGAACTTTTGTAAAGCCACTAAGGAATATACTTATTTTTTAATTGTTATTATATTTGAGATTGAGAATTTCCTCAGGAAACTTATTTTTCTTGAGTTCAGAAATATCAATTGTCAGAAGAAGATACTGCCAGAGTTGCAATCATGGTTTAACACTAACATCCTAAAGATAAATTCAGAAATAGCCATGTCTTTTCACACTAGTCAAAAAGAACTCCATTAAAACTACAAGTCAAATTTGACAGTTTGGATACTGCGTATAAATCAGAAATAAAATTCTTAGGCATACACATCAGAGAAAATATGAAAAGGAACACGCATGTTAAATCACTGAACTCCAAACTCAGTAAAATTTGCTACACGATCTCTAAAGAATCTAATGAGACCACATGTTACAAAGAGAATTTATTATGAATATTTTCATGCTTATTCAAGGTATGGTTTAATCTTCTGGGGTGGGGGTATTGAAAGTGGAAGCATCTTCAAATTACAAAAGTGTCTTATATAAATAGTCACTGGGGTGGGGAACATACAGAAAATTCTTTAGTGGCCTACATACATACATCTTTATATACATATATAGCTGACCTGTTTACGAACACCTGAAATATTCTTTTATCTACAAGTAAATACAGAGAAGGTGAAACAGAAGACAGAAATTCACAGTCACACTAAAAGTGACATCTTCATGTCCAGTTTTGTGGGAATTTTTTTTTTTGAGAGTAGTGTTGTGAATACAGGTATTAAATTATTCAGCAACTTAACAAATTAAATTGGGAAACTGGAAAGAATTCAGCATTTCTGGAGGGAGCTCAGTCAGACCCTTCCTATTATTAGACCATACGTTGTACTCCGTAGCTGAACATATGACTCATGAGTCATGACATATGTTGACATGTACATGTTTTTATGAAGGAAATCATTTGTTTTATGGTACATCTTGCTCCATAATAGTTTAAATGGAATGGTAAATTTACGTAAGTTTAAAGCCACGTACGCTACTGACCTCACATGAGCTATGTAAGTAGCTTGGAAATGAAAAAAGAAAATAATACAGAAGGAAAGAATAAAAGAAATTCAGCAATCAGGACTTACTCATAATCACATTGGTAGACTGATTTTCGACGTGTCTCAGGGTCAAATGCACCACTTGCATGCTCAGAATCTGCTGTGTTTAATGAAGACGTTCGATGTCTGCTCTCCACATCTTTGTTCTAAAATAAATTATGACAAAGCTGTGAACATTAATATGTAAATCTGACAAACATACACGAAAAATATTAATATTATACGGGCAAATGTTTAAGCTCCAAAATAAATCACATATTTATGGAACTATAATTACAGTACTTAAGTTTGTGAATATTTACAAAGTAAACTTAACTTCTTGTCCTACCGAATTACAAACAAATTAAAGGCATCCAGTGAAGCAAGACTTCTAGTTTAAAGATGCTACATATTATCAGGGACAGTGGGACAAATCACTTAGTACAGTGACTAGGTTGCAGGCCGGATGGCCGGGCTTCAGGGAGACGGAGATTTCTCTTTTTTTCCATTACAGTCCAGACCAGCTCTGGTCCCCACTTAACCTCCTATTAGATGGGAACTAGAGGCTCTTCCTCTGGACATAAAGTGACCAGTGCATCAAGCTGACCACTTACTTCCATCTAGTGAAATGATCGAGCATGTACATACTGTACATTACCATGAAGCTGATATCTGTACTGCTGGCATAAGCAAGGAGGAAAATAGCCTGTTAGTTTAACAGGAAGTTTGGTCATTCCAGTATAATACAGGGAAGTACAGTCCTTTTTACACTAAAAATGCAGGGACACTACCTCAAATGATTCCAAAACTATTTCCTTTCATTTCCTTACCAATTCATTATTTAATTATCAATTTGTTATCTGATGCTATATGGTCTGTGCTATCCAAAGCATCGTTCAATAAACTACAAAGTAAGTAACATACATGATCAACTGAACATACAGCACTCAGATTGACTGATAGACCATATCAAGTTACACACACAACACCCCATTCTTATTAGAATTGATAACAAGAGGAAGAACAAGATGTCCTTCCACACAAATAACCTGCTTGGGGAAATCAGATGTAGATGACAAACTTGTTATTATTAGTACACATCACTTTGCTGTAAGCATAGGATTTTAAAGCAAAAAGCAGACTTAAAGGTAAAGATCCTCAGGTCTATGTAGTACGTGAATTGTGTTGTCTGTATGTAGACAGCTTAGGTGAAATTGGATAGCATAAGGCCCACAACATTCACTGGATTTTTGTTTTCATAAAAAGTTTTTGAGAACGAGCATGTATCTTTGTAGTGATCTTAGGCAACATATAACTAGCAAGAACAACAATAAGGATATCATGAAGAAGTTATTTCTTTGGTACTTCTGAACAAGAAATCTGCAGCAACTAATGAATGACTCAATTTTGTGACAGGTAGTAAAATGCCTGATGTATAAACAGAGTTGTTATATGAAGTATCACCTCTTATTTCACTGCCTTGTCCTAATGTCTGTCAGAGCTCCTCAGAGGTTATAGAATTGCCCCGTGATTAATCATAACATGATGACTTACATCATCTAGGCCTGCCACTGTTTCAACATGACCTATTCTTCTATGAACTGAATATCAGAAACAGTTTGCTAAATTACTACTAATCAATCAATTTACATCCAGCATTCTTGTGCTCTTTCACATTAAGGACCATCCATAAAGGGAAGAGGGGGACTGACCGGACACATCTACTGAACGGTGTTTAGTTAACAATGAACGTCATGTGCGACCATATCAAGAAGTAGTTTCTCAGACAAGTACAACTTTAAAAACTAACAACAACTCTCTGGCTTACTTTCCTAAGTACAGGTTTGTCTATATTAAATTTGTTGGTTGTAACTGCAAAGATTCACAGTGCTGCCATGTTTGTAATTGGTAACCAATAAACAATAATTCATACAAATCTGTATGAATATTTCTAATCAGTCTTCATACCAAACTCCAAACACCCAGTAGTTATCACTATCAAACTTAAAGCTAGTGATTATTTAATGCTTTACATTCTACAAAATATTTATGATTAAATCCCGCGACAGCCCACACAAAAGCACGGCTACCTTAACTCATGAAATAGATTTCATTTTACATTTTCTACATACAATATTAACAATACTAGATTTGGAAGTATGTGCAGAGCGGACGTCACGAGTTCTGTCTGAACTCCTTGTTCTAAAGCTGTTATTGATTCTCCAAACAATGGTTAATAATTATTTATTCTTCTCTCACTTCCTCCTAGGGTTGCAGCATTCATGTTGTGTTAGCTGGACCAACATAACTAACATGGCTAACATGAACATTCTACTCCTGCTCATCCAAATACTGTAGAGCAATACACATTTTTAAATGACAATCTGGGATCCTTGGATAGGACAGTCGCCACACTAAAATCATGTCCTGAACCTATTGTGCCACTTGGATGATACTGGGTCTTCATGAGACCTCACACACGCTTGTACAACAAAACTCAAGTGACGTAAGCGTACAGCTGGTGTTATAATTTGAGTAATTCATAATCTCCTAGTATTTGTCCATCTGAGGCTTTCCTACACTTTCCATTAACTACAATGATTTATGCCAGACACCTGTTAAACAAAGACAGCAATATGTCCGCCTAATTTGAAGAAAAACATAAATTGCTGCTAAAGATTTTCATGTCTCTGAAGGCAAAACAGAGGTGAAAGTTATTCACCAGGTTGTCCACGCTCCCTTGCAGGGGATTGCTATTGAATTGTAGATCACATTCGCAAGTTCAAATTAAATCTGCACATGTACGTCACTTCTGGCTTGGGACTTGGAAAATTTCAAAAGCTTGGTTCTTGCTGTACAGAGTGTACAATCTAAAGTCTGCTAGCTGTCCAGTGCTGTACCTCATTAAAATTAAGCTGAAAAAACAACTGATCAAGTGTTTTCTTGCCACGTATTAACAGACTTCTCATTACTTTCATCATCAAAAGACTAAAATGAGGTCTTCCTTTTTGGTAATAGGGAAAATACGCTTGATTACTCAGATCCAAAATTCATAGCATTGTAGACCACAAGCTCGGATGTTTGTACTGTGTAAGAAACAAGAACGATTTATTTTATTTAAAAGATGGTGTCTTTGTAAAAGAGTTTCAGTTCAAATGGTTCAATAATTCATTAAATCCATTGGCATATTTAAGCAGTCTGCTTATTAATACGACTCACTACCATAAAATCCACTGCACTACAGACTTGGCTCCAGATAGATAATGTTAACTGTCCAGATATAATTTTATAATCTCCAGCTTATAAAAGGTTCCCTATGCTCAAGCATTAGTCTCTGCAGTACCTACATATTTCTAAATCAAGAAAATCCACAAAAAACTTCAGAGTAATCATATTTATAGCTGAAATATAAGTCAGGTTATTTATGCAATTATCTACCGTGCCCACTACAAGTGTGTGTGTGTGTGTGTGTGTACAGTATGCATGAAAGACAACCTTACAAAAGGAATGACAACAGTATTCTTTCTTACTTGTTTCAATTCATCTAGAACAGCCTTTACAATGGGCGTCATCATTGCAGTGGTGGCCGTGTTGGAGATCCACATGGATAACACCATTGTGGTGATCATGAACCCTAGTAACAATCTGAAATTATGAAGTACATGCACTAAATGTCTCAGTCTCTCATGTAATAAGCCTACATGAATGGAAGCATTATATAATGGTCAAATTTATTTAAAATAAAATACCCTTCAGCATCGCATTAAGGTTGAACATGCTATTCCCAAGAACATATTACGAGGTAATATCAGAGGGAAAAGCCTGTACCTATAGGATAAACTTAGTATGGATAACGTCTGTGACAACTTTACTTCCCAGCAACCACTGACAGAAACGTATCACCTGAATTCTGAGTCAGAGAAAAATATGCTCGTGACAATATTGTTTTTCTGGGTTACGATGCCAAATGCACTTGCAGATAGATACAAATGTTTCAGAGTAACATACTGTCTGGAGTTACAGCCCAGAACAAGACAACCGACTGTAAAACGTAAAATATTACAAAAAATACTTGCATGTAGTTATGAGTAAGTTCACAAAAGGAATTATACCTCTGAAAATGACTGGATTAAGAACTTAAATTCATGACCCGGAGCAACAGATACTGTGCACATAGCCCGAGAAGAATTTATTATACTTAGTCATCATGAAAGCTTCAGATCGTACAAATACTGTGCACACTTCATACAACACAAATCTCCCATGCATCCTGCAAGTCCTACCAATCTTCTTGAGGCTACTTTGAAACTGATAAAATTATCAGTTCATAACTGACTGGGTTTACGTACCGCACTTGGCTTGTTCCAATGGTGAGAATCACCTTCAGAGCAATGCGCTTGTGTAAGTTGCAATGTTCCACTGCTATTGCTGCAATGAGGCCACCTGCACAACAGTTGTTTAACATTGCTGATTAGTCAGGTAAGCCAAAATCACACAGTGCTATGTCAATGGTTTCATTGAAAACTCAGCACAGATTTTCATGTTGATTTCAATATCAGAAGTTACTTCAAAATTTTCACTAATAATTCTTTTTCTACAACACTATACAAAAGAATCGAAAAAAAAAGTTTAAATAACAAACCCTGACATAACCCCACTAAAATACCATATAGTATCAGCCTAGAGTAATTAGATGTTAAGAAGATTCCTGGAAACTAGGTTGTTCTGTTATATAAAACCCACAACCAGCCAGGCATAATATTTGGAGGAATTAAAGTGTTTGCCAACAGCAACAAACCAGTAGCAGGCAAACACTGATAATTGGTACATCAACAAGAAACAAACAGACTAGACTAAATAATAAATCAAACAAACATTTCACCATATTGAGCAGACATGGATTATGCTAATTAAGTTATGATCATGGTGATAATGACAATAATGATTAAAGGTAGTCATCTTCATGATTCTCTCAGCATCACGTGAAAGGAGGAGACCTAATGAGCAAAAGTCCTTGACTCTCTTCAGTAACTGAACGCTGCATTACATGAGATGGACTTGCAGTATGAGCAAACAGTTTCAGATTGTGGGTATTTATTTTACATGGCCGCTTCCTCATAAGGAAGCAATCTTCAAAATGTTTGTAGAAACTCTACAAAGAACAATAGTGAATAGCATGGCCAGTAATTGAATCTATGTAAAAATTACAAAAACTAATTAATATTTTATCCCATTCTGTGCTAGTGATGGAACATTTCTTGGAACATGTGGACTGTAAGTTCTGGGTTGTGATAACCATGTATCTTGTGGGTGGTTGTCAGTATTCCTCTGAAATGTTTGTAACAACCTACAAGACTACATGGTATCACAACTAACAATAAGAAGCCTACAACTGACAATTTTATTGCTGTAAAAACCTGAAATCTTGTATTTGTTAATAGCATGACAGCATGTTGGTATTAGTGACAAGGCACTTTATTCTACAACAAATTTGTTAAAAAAATAAGTGCCAAAACTCTGCATGAAAAAAGACGACACTAGCATTGAAAGGACTGAAGACACTATAACTCATGCAGAATAACAATTCAAGCATTTTATTACCTTGTAAGTTATTAGCAGGTTTCAATTATACAAAAAAGATTGGAGAGATATATGGATAAATCTGATTGTAAAAGTGTTTAAAAACAGTCCAACACACTCCAAACAAACTAACTTACTGAGCAGAGCCCTTCTACCTTTTTATGGAACTCTCATTACCAGATTATAAAGGGCATGATAAAGAACCCTTTCCTGAGCCATGTATATTCAGTCTACACCTTCAAAACCTATTTCCTTAAGATCCTCAACAACCACCAACAGACGACACGTGGTTTCTTTCCTCCTGTGTTTGCGACAGAAATTTTGTTTGCGGTTCTCACCTCTCACTAATTCTCTAAATTGTTATTGGTCAATAAAGAGTGAAATAAGTAGCGAAGTTTATTTATGTATTCAAGTTTAATGACAGTCCTGGTTATGCATAATGGTGCAGAAAATTTCACAAATCACTGCCAATAATAAATCATGAATGTACAGGTTAATGGACATAACCTCTCCGTAATGCATCATACAGTGAACTATGCACAAAGAATGTCTAAAATTTCAGTTACTACTATTAGTTATTCTTTTGCGAATTTAAACAACAGCATGCCAATGTAGAGGTCACAGCTGTCTGCCCACTGTGACCTAGTACCTCCTCCTTGTGTGGTGAGTAACTGCTTCATATTACACTTGGTTTAAAGTATGTTGATTCCTGTTGCACAACAGGGCATATGCCCATAAACACAGAATGTTCCAAAAAGAAGTATACACATTTAACACGGAATATTAACCTTGTTATCAATCTCCATGTGTTGTGATTACAAGGGGAGCCTAGTGTGGTCTACACTTAACAGATGGCACAGCAGTACCTTTTCCCATGATTCAGAATGATGGATGGGACTCAAGATCTGCTGAGTACCCCCAGTGATCACTAGATTTAACCCCACCTGAGTTCTTCTTGTGTGGTTCTTGAAGGACACGGCGTACAGCAACAGTTCATGAACTCAGGCAAGAAACTGAATGATCTTGGGCAACCGTCCCAGCAGCAACTTTGGTGGCCGCTTGTCAGACAGTTTCTCACTGATGTCAACTGTGCCATGAAGCTAACTTTGGCCATTTTAAACATCTACACTAGATTTGCTAATTCACTAAGTACCAATGCTGATGTATGTAATAGTTTAGTTCATTAAAATGTCTTTATTTCAATAACTGAATGTGTGTGTTCAACCTTTTGGAATATTTTGAACCGGCTTTACCAAAGTCTGATGTTTTATTCACAAAAGAAGATCTGGTATTGATGCTAGGCAAATGATGACCACAGTATTAGCCACCAAAATTAAGTCAGTTTAGTTCATGTTAACATTCTAGTGATATTTAAAGCCATACAATATCAACACCCTGAGGAGTGGCGATAAGCAAATAATTTAAAATATTCACCTATGAACATCATGTTGGTCTCCTTGAGGTATGCATTGCATACTCTTTCAGTGTTTAGGACATCCAAAAGTGGAAATAAAATCACCGGAATGAACGACGTCACGGCCAGGGGAACTGCCTCTGTCATCCAGTATACTGACATCAGCATGACAACATACCCACATTTTGCTTCCTAGAAAGAAATTAGGCTTTACAGTGATGCCGTCATTGTATGACCTTACCTAAAAGGGAACCCACAAATGAAATTCGACATTATTACAAATGCCTGAACATCATTGTCTGTTCATCACTTTCACAAGAAGTCGAAGATTACAGTTTGTTCAACACTCTCATAAATACATATGTATTGTGGATTTCTCAACTCACTCACTCTCACACAAACTGGGCATTATAGTTCATGCAACACTGACACATACTTGAACATGATGATTTCTGTAAGAAAGGATTATGTTCAAAATATCATTATCAAGTCATCTCCTACGCCAAATTCACCCAAAAAACTTACGTCGAGTCGATCTGGGAAATGAACACGGCTTCTCCGTCATCTCGAAAAGGAGACGGAGTTTGAAGCCACGCGATCTCGTGCACAGAACCAGCAGTTGAAGTTCCCACTAGAGCGGACAGTCACGACGCCAAGGTCAAATCTTGACCTGTGTGACGTCACGGTTGAACATCACCCTCCAAATTGACCCGCAAAGATCGACGTCCCCTCCCATCCGACTATTTCTTCTCTGAATTGTTTTAATTGATGGGAATGAGTCGAAGATTCCACAGAGAAATTCCACGACCATAACCTCCGCACTTTTCTGATATTCTCGGCCCATTAAACCACGAAGGCTGGCATGGGGATGGACACAAAAGTTTGGTAGGAAAACCTCAAGGGAAGTGCCACGTTTCCAGAAAGGACTCTGGTTCTTGGAAATAATTACCGGACTCCAAACGACCTCCTTTCTCCTGCATTTTCAAACAGATTCTGTCGATCTAAGTCATTGCAACTTTGTTTAACTTTTCCACCACGTGCCCGCACAATTCTCTTTTGGATCACGCGAAATTCAGCCCAATCTTCTTTTATTTAATTTTCCACTCACGTCGGTTTCTCTGTCACAATGTTTTGCTACTTGGCACGTGCCTTTTTCAAACCGGAGACTGGAAACAATCCGATAGTCAAATCGTCAACATTCAGCGCAAAATATTAAGCAAACAAACAGAGACTCGGACCACAGCCTCGCCTTGCCCCTGGCATCGGCGCACACTCGCTGGGCATACACAAATGTGCCCAAAAACTCTTCTCTCGTCCGTGGTCCGACCACACAGTACAAAGCTCAGCTTCGGTTTGTTGCCCAGAAAATCTTTCGTGCAGGTGAGACGTCGGATCGACTGCAGAGACGGAGACTTTTTGTGACATTTCAGCAACTGAACTCTTTCGATATCGTAAAAATACCGCGCGTCTCGAAGACTGCAATGGCACGAGTCCTTATCGACGGAGCCCAACAGAGTCCAGCCCCCGAAACGTCGTACTTGTTGACAAAAATGTCCAGAGATCACCACGATGAAAAGATTGTTCGCAACATTTCATTGTTGCATTGCATTTACGAGACGCAAATCAACTGAAAGAGATATTGAAATAAACGGACAAATGTTCCTGACTTCGGAAAGGTAGGCGACGTCCGCGAGTCCTTCCTTCCAGGTTCGTGTCGTGCGCTGATGTCAACAACGAGCACGTGCGGACGTGTTGAAGTTTTGTTTCAAAGGCCAATGACTGATAAAAATGCGAGAAGCAGTTCACAGGTGCACGAGGAAAGCAAACGAGAGAGACCGAACACCTCACAGCAATTGTTCTTCCGGGAACCACTGACAACCGGAAACCCAAACGCGGCTTCTGTGCGACTTTGAATGAAATCCAAAGTTATTGAAGATCCAAAGTACGAATTCAAGGAACTATCTAGACCGCTCAAAACAACTAACTTTTTGGACATTGTACGACGTTTCGGAGACCGGAGTGTGTATCCGTCCTCATACTCCAACCTCCGAAACGACGTGTTTATAACAAATAATCAAGATGATGAATGACATGAGGGCGATGAGTGAGCCGCACGCGGTTTGCTTATCGCCCTGATGATGGAGGCAAGAAGGACTTCTGAAACGCCGGTAACCTTCAACCCAGAAGACAGTCGTCTTCAGACTCACCGCCGCGAAAACCTCAAATCCTGCCTCCCTGATGATGGAAACAGGCAGTGTCTTTGAAACGGACTACGATTCCATTTTGCGTGTTTCTATCGTACTCATCTGTACCTAAATGTCAGTAATCCTTGGATGACTGTTTGATGACGCTTTAGGAACATCTGAGGTTGTTTTGAAATTTGAAGCGCCGACCGGGGATTCCCATTGCAACTGACAGATTCACGTCTCTCCGCGCCACTTCTTAATTCTGAAAAAAGTTTGACTGCGCCCGAAATCCAAAAACCATCTGTGCTACCTGGCCCAGGGCCTCGAGTTGCATACTCGCAGGGGCAGGAAGACTCCACTCAGCCTTGTTTTTCCAGGTTCTTCCCGCTGGAGAGACAGGAATTCGACGAGCACGAAGAGGCGTTTATGGGGACGACGCAGACGGCGCTCGGCATGAGAAGGGACCAGCCGATAAGGCGAAAGACACTATCGCAGATACGCATCAGAATGGTAGAAGTCAAGGGTCTGCGGACCGCGTCTTGAAAAACTCAGCGACGCCCGAATGAACGTGTGGATCGGCGACACCGAACGATGGTTCGCATTCCTCCGTTCTGTCCAGGAGATTCTGGGTTCAAATCTCAATCAAGGTAGGGATATCCTGAGCACATGTCACGATTCAGAACCATCTGGCATCTGACCTACGCAGCTGTAAAAGCGTAGTTAAACAAACAAGGGAGTTCGTAACGTTCAATAAAGGAGCCATTCCGTGCAGGCCTTGACAATTTAACCTCACTCCAGTGGCATTTTGCCAGCGACACTAATCAGGAACTCGGAGCCTCTCGGGCCGTTGCCAATTTTATCGGGTAAATAATTTCTGGTGTCTTGTGTTTCTGTTGGCCTCTGCTCAGGGACGGTCGTCCTCGAGCAGAGGCGTCTGATTTGCGTGACCCAAATTTACTCGAAGCAGCGACGAATTTGTATTCCGTTCCGCAAGACGCCACGTGGCCTTGGGGACCCACGGATTCCACTAAGACATCTGCACTCCAAAATGTTCGTATCTGAGAGCGACAGCCGAGGAGTCGCTGTGGAAACGAGAGAGACGACCTCGGATTTGCCGCGTATCGTCGCAAGCATGAACTCAACATCGACTTTTGCTCGTGCCTTTTTGGTTTGGTTTGGTCTGCTGTGGGGTTCCGTCAGTAATTTTCGTGGCCAGACGGATTCCTCGCCTCGCAAAGCGGAGCCCGCCTGAACATCTTCCGGGAACGCACTACAACAACGCCTTCTGGGAAGTGCTTCAGGCAACTACTTTCGTCGTAAAGCTCGTCTTCTGGGCCTCGTTCATCGCTCTGCATTCTGAAAACAGAGCTCTATGTTTCGGCAGCTGGGTCTGCTGCCGTCTTCACGTGAAAGGCTAGTCCGTTAGAGAGACGGGAGCAGAGACAATTCCCGAAACGTGGGATTTTGTTCGATGAGATGTTTTTACCCCGCATTCTTTGGTGTTATTGTTATCACAGCACGTCGAATTATTTGTTCACCGCGTACGTGAACTCCTACGAATTTCCGCCCCGTGCACTCTGTCGCGTGCGGGTCTTGATTCTGCGCTGTTATCAGACGCGTCCGCTGGCATTCGCTGTGCTTTGTGGAGATTTATGTTGTCAAGACGACGAGTTACGCACTCCTCTCGTTCTGACTTCTCCATTTACCCCGCCTTGCTGACGTAACAGCCGAGTGATCTTCCACAATCACAATCCAACAATTTAACGCAAGACACGGATTCTGTGCACTTGCGAAAAACAAACAACATTGAGACTCACAGCACAACGGCGAGTGCCGTTGAATGAACACGTGACCGCTGGCTTATTAGTGGAGACATCTGGCGGCAGCTTTAACAGCTGCGTCTTGAGAGGGGTGGGGGCAGGAGACGCTCCTAACGCGGCCTTGTGGCTGCTTCACATTTGCGCGATGGACACATTCGGATGATCGCAGTTTCTCAGCATACAAAAATGTTTCGTGCATTCTGCGAGTATGTCGTCGTGTCGGTATTATTGACTCACAAGTTAAAAAGTTCAAAGGCGGGAGCTCACCCACGTGACATAATTATCGCGCCACGTTTTATAAAAAATCTGCCCTTAATCTTTTCCGGAAGTCAGCCGCTTCAGTTCAAAGCACTCCCTGATGACGGACACAGACATGGTCTCCGAAACGTTCCGAATTAGTACTGAAGATGGCCCGAGAAGATTTTATCAGTCGCTGCCGCCGTCTCAAAGTACAAGGCCGCAGCTCGTGACACCAAGAGGTCATCCGACGTCACGGCCGAGTGGGAAACACTCCGGCTTCGTATTTCGGAGGTCCGGGGTTCACGTCACGGCCTAAAGATCAGTTGTTCCGAGGCGCACTGCAATTTTCTCGGCCCCCGGCTGCAGAGTGAAAGTCGATTCTTCTGTCTTCTTCGCCAAAGCAGATCACAACTGAAACGCATCCTACAACATCAACAACTGCTTTGTGACGTCACTGGTCTATTGACAGAAGAAGGCAGAGCGCGACAAAGCTTCTATAAAACAGAGACATTCTTTCTGGGTTCAGCAAGGCTCGTGGATGGCTGTTTGCTGTTTCTTTGTTCAAAATAAAATTGGGCACGTATCCACAGGGAAAGTCGGTGGGAAATCATGGACAATATTCAATTGAGGTATTGGACTGGTTTCAGAACACGCGTAGGAGTTAGTTTGGAGACCACCAGAACGGCCTCGCCGTGCGTCGACTGGCATCTGCAGCCAGACGGATATTCTAATGCGAAGGTTGGGACAATGTCACGTGAACAGAGGACGCAGGGCACTGACCACACGTTCGTTATAACAGGAGTAATAATAAGAACACCAAGCGATAAAGCGTCAGACTTGTTATCGGGAGTAACCTGGTTCGTATCTCGGCTCGGAAACCGACTGATTCTTTTCGCGGTCTTCTCCGTTGTTCCAGGCAACCGAAATCAATAACTATTCCACTTGCGAACCACCTGAGCTACTCGACGCCAACACAAGCAAAGCCCGGAGCATTACCGTTTCCTGACACATCCCTACTCGTTCATCATCGCACGCGTAACCTCGGTTGCTGAGGCAACGAATCGAAGCACACAAGTCCACCGACAAACACGAAACAGGAGCGTCTGTTTTGCCACACCTCAGCCTCTTTGCTCAACGACTCGATTCGTGATTTCCTTCTCACGCGATGTTCAAATGTTTCGCCAAACAGAAAAGCATCTGCGCCCAACGCCCTTCAACTTTCTTCCGCCTTACAAACATAACAAATACATTTTGTATACCAACCTTATTTCCTAATGCAATGAGTGGCGAGAGGGCCAAAGGAACGAGAACTATGACCAAGGACCTCCAGTGCACCAGCAGCCTATCAAACGGCACAGTCATTTTTATCCAAAATCCGTCGCTCACAGCGCCCTTTTAATTTCGCGGCAAGAATCACAGAACTTTATCTACGACAACAAAACAGTTGAAAGACGTTACACGTCACAGCTGCTCCGTTCCCTTTTATATACGACCAGCGCATTAAGGCGCTGATACGTCATTGGTCGACCGTCAATTGCGCGGTTAATACAATGAACTTTATTGGAGTATGCGAGAGTGACGTCAAAATCCCGCCGGGTTAATGGGTTTACACGCGTCACGTGTCGCGAGGAATAAAACTTCGAACGTTTCTTGTAAACTGACGTCGACGATTTTATGTAGGGCAACGGAGCTGAGGCGGAACGGACGTGAATTTGGGGCGAAAATGTTCAGCTCAGGGGATGACGGGCGGGTCACAAAGCAGTGACCTTATAAATTATTTCAGCGATGCTTAAGAAGACCGCAAATTTCGAAGCCAGTTAGTGCGTGTGTCCGTACGTATTTTAATTCTGTGCGAAACTTTTCGCTTTTCTGCGAACTCAGAAATTCGGCAATACTCGACACGGCGTCGAGTGCACAACCACTAACAGACTCACGGGGCCGCCATGTTGGTGAGAATCTACAACCGCGATGCATTAATTCCTCCTCGCGGACTACGGCAACTAGGCTGACAATTAAGGAAAGTGCGACAACGTGATTCGACGCATTACGAAAAGAACGCCAACCCCACTCTGAATAAAAACGCTCGTTACGCAATGAACATTCCTTCGCGCTGATGACATTAAAATGACGATGTGTCAACATTAGGGCCTCGTATTCTGTTTCTGTCGTCCAGAAAGAGGACACTCCTCTGCAGGGAATTAGAATTACAGTGGGACTTTTTGTTCCAGTTTTGTTGAAGATGAACACAGGCAAATGCCTCTTCCGTGCTATGCTCGAGTTATCTTGTTTTCGGTCCTCGTGGTTCTGTTGTTCGTCAAGCGAAGTCGCGGCTCTCTGCAGGAGGAAGCAAGTGCGATGTTCTGAACGCGTTATCTCTTTCACCAGGAGGAGCGGCCCCTGTGAACGAACCCAATGCATGGGCTCCTACAAAGTTTTCTGCCAAGTAATTACTCAGTGTTATTGTATTTTTCCCATTACCTTATCGACACAACAATTAGGTCGGAACCTAACCTAAAACCCACGTATTCTCCGATATATCGACAGCCGTGCAATTCGACTCTCAGACAAGATATCGAGGCTTCTCTGAACAACTATCGCTCTCACCTTACGACATCTCAGGGCAGCGACTCCCGTTGATAAGAGGCAGTTAGAGAGTATCAAGATAAGTTGTCCTCCAATGACACGAGCTCCGGCTATTAGTGGACCGAAAATATGGATTCTTAATTTGAAAAGTGACAGACGGACGCACACTAATGAGTGCCATAAGCGATCTTAGAAATAAAACTCTAACGGGGAGCCTTCAACAGGCACGGGCTGTCTATTCCCAACCTCAGACATCGAAATGTACCGCTCGGACTGCACTTACGAAGATGTTTACAGAACATCTGGGCAGAATGACACCAAAACACCCGCCAACACCCACAAGGAAGACAAGCGAATGGACGCGGTCAGTTCGTGGTCTCGCACGCCCAGAACAGATCCAGTATTTAGACGAAATATTAGATCAGGAAGGAAAAAATGGGGCGTAATCCTGAAGAAGAGGATTGCTCGCGCGAACAGCTCCCGTTGGAACTGAGATCGGCCACGGGCGGGCGGGCAGACAAATTCCTTTAAAAGTGCGAGCGAAGAGTTTTTCGATGATGTGGTGACAATTGCAGAAGTGATCGTAGCGCCAACGAAATTGTTCTGGCGCGGGGCGCGAATCCGAGGTCAGAAAATGGTCGGTGCACTTTTCGTTTCGATGGGAATCCTCCCCTGACCCAGACTTCGGCCACAATTACGGAGCGCTCAGGAGGGATCAAACACACAAACAAAAGATTCAGAAGTCTCAGGCCAAAACATTACAAGTGACGAATCTGTCTCGCTGTCGTAGCCTTGAGGTGCTTCTAGGGTACAGAACCACAGCCTTCTTAAGGCTCCGACATCGAACCAAAACATTTCGCCCTGTCGCCTTCGAGACATCAGATACAGACGCATCTCTGAAAACATCCGAAGACCCCACACAGAATGACGCCAATGTTTCTCTGCTGAAGAAGGGGTCAGTGGCCTTCCACTGCATTAATCCGGCCCGCATCAACGATTGCACATCATTAAGAACGTGGTCCATTCGCTCATGCGTTGAGCTACGACTAAGAACCACAGTCGAAGTTACGCAACAACCAAGCCCGTTTATGACCCAAGGGCCCCGGAACGTTTAGTTCCAGGCACAATCATTTCACGATGCACCAGACATAAAGTTAAATGTTTATTACTGATTTTCTTTGTTGGACTTTCCTCTTCCTTGATTTCACGTCAAAAACTTGCGACTCGTGAATGTTTCTCGGTTCCGATGATTCGGACACTGCGGAGTTCCTACTCAGAAAGGGCGCACCTCAGTCACTGGACCTTAAGCGGAACTCACTTCAAATCTAGTTCTTCGGAACTCCAAAAGACTGAAAAGCTGATGGTGTCTTTTGCTGCCCGGACCAAGTTTTAAATTCTCGATTTTCGATGAACACAACGAAACGCGTGGACCGACTTAGTGAGTGCAGTCACGGGTGACGTGACGCTCCTTCAGATTCGAAACGATTAAATTTGCTTTATTTGAAAATTGCTCTGTAACAGCCCCTAAAGTGGGCGGTTTGATTGGAGCCCGACGTCTCGAGAAGGCGCGTGAGACTGTCATGCTCTCAACCTCGCAATGTTCTGTTTACTTCAGATGCAAGCGATTTCATGGGCACTTCAACGTTTCTAGTTCAAACCGCTACTTCGTCGCACTAACTGACGTGCGTCAGATGTCGACTTCAAGGATATTCTTATTGTGAGTCGTCTCCACCCATAATTTGCGAAATTAGTCAGCATTAAGCACTTGGCTCGTCCCGGGGAAGACAATTGCGACAGGCCACTCGTTCCAGCTTTTTGTCCGACGTCCGTGGAACGAATCTCCTGCACTCCGAAGAACCAACCAATTCGGTCATCGATTCTTGGGCGTATTTCCCAAGAATGCGGATTCTGCACTGACACCATTGCCGTCATACAAAATGTGCCGAATGCCGACTTCATCCCACGTGTCTAAAAACTCCCCAGCGTTACCATAAAACGGTTAGCAAGATGGCGCCAAGCGTCAATTGACCCGCTGCTTGGCAACAAGTGAACGCACGATGCAGCGCTTGAAAGACAAACAACTGTCGCGGCCCTAGTTCGAGTCTTCCACTGGCACTGATTCTGCGGTCAGCCTGACACAAATCTTCCTTTCTAGATGACCTCGGGGCAACGGCTTCCGGTGCCATGAATTGGTCGGACGAGGCCGTTACTGGCCTCGACACTGAATGGCAAACCAAGGTCCCCGTCCTCCAGCTCGTGAGGAAACACACGAGGAGCAGTGTTCAACTTTCTTCGCCAGTCTCACGCCCACAACTTGCACTCACAAATAACTATCGTATCAAAGCCACTATAAACTGAAATGCCTTCGTAAACTGCAATTTTTGTCACCCTATGACGCACGAATTTGTCTGAAAAGTTTGCTGTTTACTCGACTTGTCAAAGAATATCCCACTTTCTTTACGGAACCCAAAGGCTCATCACCGTGTTTACAAAAGCC